TGATTTATTAGGCCTAATTTCACTTGCCAAGTAGCCGAAGACTTCAAGTCCAGGTGACTTTGATTTATTAGGCCCAATATCATCTAAATAGACCACCAATTCATTAATAGCCGGCCCAGTTCCTCCATTCGTCTCTTTGTAGTTCCATTGTCGACTTCCTTTGTTGCTCTCTCGTTGAAATTGGGCATGGCCCAAGGGTGGGTATGGTGCGCTAGGAGGAGAAGACTCAGTCCATGTGGTCCGTCACCATGGGTCGACTAGACGGGGCCGAAATTTGCAAGGTTTAGGTTTCGCTGTGCACCCTTCGCACCTGACAAGTTTTCATAATCATGGGTTGTTTGGAATGAATTGAAGGAATTGTTGGAGTCTCCTGGGGTGGGGCAATCGACCGGTGGGATGTTGTGATCATGATGTTGGCCGGAGATGATAATTCTGATGATTTTACCATTTTCAGGCAGCCCGTTTTCTGAGTTGATTCCGGCCAAAATGTAGGTTTTTTCAACTAAGGGTTTTTTTATGGTGACTCTGCCTACAATTTCTGTTTCTGTTATCGATCGCCAAGTTTTGAATTACTCTGGCTCTGATACCATATTGGCAAAAAGACACTCAGGGAAGGATGAGATAAATGATTTTATTTCACCTTAATTGTTACAAGCCAATTAGTCAAATTTATACTAGTTCCTAATCTAGGAAAAAAAGGAAAAGTCCCCTAATCTAAATAAGGTACATAATCAATATATAATTATACATAATCTATCCAATAATGTACGAGATTTCTACACCCACCCTATTTTTTAAGATCATTATTCTAAAAGCAGGGATGATGTTTTATTATTTACAAATCAAATATTTCATATTGAAACATTAACTATTAAATATACAATTTTCATCACAAACCCTATCAATTTTCCCAAACCCTGAAAATCACTTCTTCTCATATTTCTCTTTATCTGGCGCCACACCCACCCCTTCATCCGACACCAGAATCACCCCTCATTTGGTGATGGCAAGGCGATGACGCAGCGATGCATCGCTGCAGGAGCACTGCTACTCGTAGCGAGACGACACTGCTATTGCCGAAGCTTCATAGCACCGCCTTGGAGTCCTGCTTGGTGCCTCGTTGCGAACAACGCATCTATATGCAACAAGGCGGCGCTACTGCTGCCTAAATCTACACCGCCGCCTCGGTTTCTTTGGGAGTTTTGTTTTTGTTTTTTGATTTGATCTACTGTGGGTGGTTTGTTGATCAATGATTTTCTGATTAGATCTATTTTGGGATGCTTGTTGGTTGCTGCGGTGGTGTGGTGTGTAGTTCTTTTTTTCCTCATAATTTCTGTTAGGTGACCTAAAATTGGCGGTGGTAGTTGTGGCGGGTGGTTTGTGTGTGG